TGAGAAGTTCATAGCTTCAGGTGACATGGCTGCAACCATTAAACCTCTGTTTTAATTTGACAATTGCTTTTTAGAATGCTTGATAAATCTATTGCTGGGGAAATTTGGAGTATGAGCTGTGGATCAAAATTAGGAAGACTGTTATTTGAGCTGAAGTAGCTGAAGACAGTGTGTACTGCTGGGATGTGAACTAGCTTTGTAAAATCACATCACCAGGTGGTACAAGTGAAGAAAATCTGTGAAGAAAATCAGAGTTATTATGGTCATATTGTTCCTTTTCTCTCCCTCTGGCTTATTAGCTATTCTCAATTTATTAAAAAAGTTTTCCTGCCAAGTTATTCTTTTTTCTGCCTTGGAGATGAATGCACTGTTCCTTATTTTTGGCATTCAATTCCTTCTTAAACAGTTTAATCACTGAAAGCAGTAGTGGTTAAACATCTTGGAGCTACACATACTTTGAGTTCCAAACTCCTGACTGACATTCAATAACTTAATGTAATTGCAACTGAAGATCACTTACTGTTCTTTGCAGGCATCAGTAAATTAGGAAATTACTAACTGGAGTTAGGAAATTACTAACTATAAGTAAAGGTTACTGGCCTTTCCCAGTTTTAAACCTTGTTTTCAGTTGCTTTTGACTTGCTGGACCTCAGAAATAAAATTTCAAGCTGCAACTACTTCCAGAAGTAGATCTAGGAAAAAATGTTTGTACATTATGATAAAGAGTTTAAGATTCAGGAAGAAACCTATTAATGTCCTTACTTGACAAAGTATTGTACTGGGAAATCAGACTCTAACCATAAAAAATTTCTGGACCACAGTGACCTAGTTCAGAAAATAAATAAGGTTTTTCCTTTGGAAGCTCATGCTGGGAATATAGTCTTGTCCCCTTGATAGTGATGGCAAGATTGACCTGTGGCTAGTACACTATTTATTTATTTTTTAATATCACAGCTTTATGACTCTAGACTTGGACAGGATAATGCACAGTCCCCACAGCTTTTCTGCTTTCAGTGGTTCTTGTTGTTTATAAGGCAAAGCTCCTGAGTCAAGCAGAGATCTGAAGGGCAGTGTTATGGCACAGAATGTGAAACTCACTGTAATTGGAGTCATATCTGGGGCTCACATAAGGGGCAAAAATGCTTTCATGCTTTATGCCAGAAGATCAGCTCCTAGGAAACCTGACAACTTCAAAGGTGTTGGTGTGAAGTTGCTGAACTTCACACACAATGTTAGATAAAGTTCACTATTCTAGACAACAGTGCATATAACTCCATTTTTGTCATCCATTTGTACTTGTTATTTAGATAGCTGTCTCTAACATTATTAAAGTATAGGTGCATGTACAAGTGATTTTTAGAAAGCCTTAAAATCCCTTGCACCAGAAGTAACAAATTTTAAAACATTTGTATATAAATATACATAATAAATGTATATAAATAGTGTACATTGCCATGAGTACTTCAGCACTGCTTTCTTTTCTTTTTTTTCTTTCTTTTTTTTTCTTTCTTTCTTTCTCTCTTTCTCTCTTTTCTCTCTTTCTCTCTTTTTCTTTCTCTCTCTTTCTCTCTCTCTCTCTCTCTTTCTTTCTTTCTTTCTTTCTTTTTCTTTCTTTCTTACTTCTAGACAGCTTGTAACCATCATAAACAAGAGGAGTCTGAGAGGAACATGAGATTGTTGTTCCTTTCAGAAGTATGTTGGGATTGTTGATGGCTACAAAGTGCATGGGAGTTCATCTTAACATTTGTGCAGAGCATTTCTTGCGGCACTATGGAAAAAATAGGAATGGACAACATAGCTCTCCTGAGATACATAAACTCCAAATTTAACACCATTTGAAATTCACGTGCAGTGGGGTAATGTTCTGAAACAGCTTCAAAGCCAGTCACCCTTGCAAGTGTTGAATACCTGCAGCCCCTTTTCTCCTTGTTTGATTTCCTGTTTTTTAATTAATGTGCACTCTGTGCCCTTTCATTTCAACATCTCTAATAAATACCATTCCATGAAACAAACTTTTAAAAATTCCTGACCTCTCCTTATAACTGTATTCCACTTACAGGAGGAAAGAGAAAAGGAATATAAACCTCAATGTTTTTAATGGCTTCCAGCTAAATGCTTTCCTTTTACTAACAGCTGAACCCAGCCTTCACTCTTAGCTATTATCTCCCGCTTCCTCATATGTCTAAACCATATGTCCACACAATTCTATAATTCTATATCTAGCATAACAGAGCTAAAGTTTTTGTCTGGTGACATGGATTAAGTTGCTGTGAATAATGCTTTCACCTGAGCTGTTCTAGCCTGCTTTGTTGCCCAGAATTTTGCTTTCTATTGCATACAGTGCAGATTGGTCTTTTATCGCGGTCCCTATTGTTTGGCAGGTTGTTGGTTTTGTTGTTCTTATTTTAATGGGCATTTTAATGGCAAAACTGCTGTAGGAAAACATTTCAGAGGAAATGAATTAATTAGTAGAGATATTGTTCCACACAGAAAATGGTATGAGCTGTTGCCTCAGAGAACATTACTTGCTTTTTCATGTCTGCTGAGAGGGCATATTTACTTAGAAGATGTTCAGACTCCTGCTTTAAAACATGATAAAAATGATGGAGCCATTCTTTACATCTGTGAGGCAATCTACATTTTAAACAGCTGAAAGCATAATTGCTCAAGATACATTTAAAAGTTGTAATCACATGCAAGGCTTTTGAACAAATTTATGCTTTTCTAACTTCTGGTCACTGACTTCAGTTAGAGGATATAAAGCTCATGGAATATTGATCGCTAACACATCAGTAACTAATAATTGCATATAACTACTTTTTTTTTTTTTTTTTTTTTGGTCAGCATTTAAATACAGGTAGGTTTTCAAAGGGCATAAGAGCATGATTTAATGTGTTAAATTAGCAAAAGGATTATCACTGAATTCAAGCATCAGGAGATCAAGCTGACTATGGAGAATCAAATCTATGCTCAGATAAATGAGAGCTAAGAAAGAGATTTCATGAGTGAACTATGAAAATTTACAGAAATAAATGATCTTACAAAGCTGCACTAGAGAGCTGCATTGAGAGGTTTGCAGATTAATTTTAGCAGCACGTCAGCTGGCTTACTGGAACAAATCCCTGTCCTTAAAGCAAAGCACCTCCCTTCAAAGTCCACTGAATTCAATGTATGGATTACTTCTGGGTAGGAATGGGTACCTCTAAGAAGTCTGTAATATCTAACACAGTTCATGGTTTTCACTCATGAACGAGAAGAATCAATTCTTAAAAAGTAACCCTGGGAGCACTTCTGTGTCAGTGCTCATGGTCATCAAGTAGAGCACTGAGCCTGAAATGCATGAGTGTTTTATAGTATTCCTGGTCTTATAAATGTAGATGAGAATTTGAATGATTTTAGGGTTAAAAAAGGTAGTCATGGACACCTCCAAATGGCTTAGGATTTGGTATTAATGAGATCTATGTATGGAGAAACCACCTAGTAGTTGCAGATGTAGACTCAGTAGCCAAAGTGCTTGATGCTCCTAGCAGGACTTGTAAGATAAAAAACTTCTACTGAGCAGTGGTTAAATGATTCTGCTGTTATATGAAAAAAATACAATATGATTAAAAGGCTTGCTATTTGATTGCAAAAGACAATATAGTTTTCAGCAGAATAATGTCTTCAGGAGATCTAATTTCATAGTTTAAGACCAGGAAAAAAGGCTCCCACTGAAGTCTTTGTTGGTGAATGTTTTAATCCTTTGTCAAGGCAGGAATGTGTCACAGCTCCGTGACCAAATACTCTTCTGTATTAGAAAATTATGAAGGATGTATTTTTTTAAAAAAGTGAAGCAAACAACATTAGTAAGATTTAGGCAACAATTAACTAGGAGCTAGACACCCACTCTCATTTGTTAAATTTTTGCACATGACACAACATGTCAGTTAACATACTTATTGTACATTTTGAGAATGTAAATACTGAGTCAACATATGCATAGTTAATAAACATGGATTATGTTAAAAAGTCAAAATTACATTTGTAATCAATTTATTTGGAATACATACTTTGAATGCTTATATGTATGAATGTACATGCACTTGGTAGACATGAGTGACATTTCATTGTTTTATCATAGTCCCATTTGATAAACATTAACTTTTAAAGATCGATTACTTCTATTATGTCTGTAATATTGCTCTTTTCAGTCTGGGACTAAAAATATTTCCTGAAGTCAGGTAAATTCAGCATGGATTGGTACTGGAAATATGTGTCATGACTTCCTACATCGTACACCATATTTGCACAGGAGCTTCTTTATTGATACATAACTCCGGTTCACTTTACAGTTTCTAATGTGGCTGGAAATATGTCAGCAGATTTTAAAGATTTTAATCAATACATTACATATTCATAACAGCCTCTACCTTTTATTTCAGGAAAATAAGCTATATCAGTAAATGGGGACGGCAGGAGTTTACTTGTGCTGAAGTCTGCTGAACACAGCCATGTTCATCAATAATCACCTCCTCAGCACCTTAGCCAAGAAAGATATAGTACTTATTTATTAAAACATTTGTTCTTTGCCAGAAGTGAAAACTGAGTGGTTCTTGTGAAAGGGGAAGCACTCACTGTCACCTGTCAAGGCAACATAGACGTAGTACAGACAACCTCCTTTTTCACTACTGTATGTCAGAGCTGCTTTTTTGGAAGTCCCAGACATCAGACAAAATAATCTTTTACTTCCTTAGTCACAGGACACAATCTCTGAAGCCATGTCGCTGCATGGTAACGTGTATGATCTTCTGTATGATGACAAGCTGCCAGCATATAATGCATTTTTCCAGATAAACCGCCTAAACTAGCATTTCTTTTCAATATTTTTCAGCAGCAGTTACCTCTTACAGCAACAGACTTGGAACAATTTGCATCTTCTTACTAAGCTCTTTGCCACATAGTCTGTGTCAGCAGCAGTTTGGATTGCCTGAAAGTTATTGAAGGAGAAAAAGCTTTCTTACCTAACCGAACTGCTGCCAGCATCAAGGTCTTGTGCTGTCACTGCACCGATAATGGTCCCCACAGGAGTATCCTCATAAACCTCCATCGTGTACATAGGCTTGCTGAAAACTGGAGGTTCATCCATGTCCAACACATTTATCTTCACAGTAGCGGTGTCTTTGAATGGACCCACTGAGTGAAATCGATGGTCAAGATGGAGATTGGAGGCCTCAACTTTGAAGGTGTATGCTTTTTTTGTTTCAAAGTCTAATGGCTGTGGAAAGAACAAAAGCTAAATATAAGACTTGACTAAAAATTAAACATTGCAAAATTGCTTTGGTAGAATTAATCTGACATAATTTAAGATGTCTTCAATGTAAACTTCCGCTCCTGAGCAGTCACTGGAGAGGAATGGACAATTTTAATAAACCTCAAGCTAAGGTGGTTTCTGAAATAGGCCAGGTGAATCATGTCCAGGAAACAACTGTTTATCTGCATTAAAAAATTCAGGATGATTGACATGGATGTGAACAGTTACACTGTAGATGTCTGAAACTGACTACCGTTCACCTCTTGCAAATTAGCTCTGTCACAACTCCCATGCACAGCCAATCAACCATCTCCAGCTGGTCTAGGTCATTAAACAGAAGGTTTGCACTGCTTTTAGCAAGGAAAGCTTTCAGAGAAATATGACAATGATAGAAAGGAGCCCAAATGGAAACTCTGATATATACTGATGGGTCAAACCAAAGCTTAGGTATGGCTTGCAACGTGAATTCAAACCTGATCAGGTTTTCTTAATAAATAGTTATCTTGAGTGAACTGCTATCCACTAGATATATTTGAGCAGTACATATGTAGAAAATGCCGACTTTGCCTTCTGATCCTAGGTGTAATTTGTAACATTTTGAAAGTATCATAACAGCATTTGTACCTTTCTGATTTCTGATGGAAATTTCTGCAGATAGTTTTCACGTGGGTTTGTGTCAATGTACATCAATTTAGTAACTTTGGTTTTAGAAAAGTAATAATCTCAAAACCATAATGAAGTCATATTTAGTTGAAAAGACACAGAAGCTTTATTTTCTGTCGAAAAAAGATTTTGCTGCATTGTGGTTTTCACGTTTTTAATTTTAGTGAGGGATCTTTTCGTGATGTCTGGGCAATACTGCCACCTAGTGGCTCCTCTCTATAATTGTCGAGTTAGAAATTTTCAGGCGGGAAGGATATGCTATCTGGAAAACAGAGCAGGATCACCAGTGTAGGAACAAGAATATGTTAATGTCTGTCATTTTTTTCTCCCCCAGCCATCATTACCACAGTGTTTCCAGTCATTTGTCACAGCTAGTACAGATTTAAGTTATGCTATTTTCTGTCCTTATCACAGCAGGACATAATTGGCCAGATGCCTGGCTAGTGTGAGTTGAAGCAGCTCCATTAAAATCAATGGAGTTACCTTGATTTACATTAGCTGAACAGCTAGCATAATGGTTTAAAATCCTTATGAAAAACATTATAATTTTAATAGACTACATAGCCAGTCTTTTCTGAGCTGGGGATTTAAAATTAGACAGCCAAGTCTATATGCCCTAGAAATAATCAAGCTTGAAAGCCAAGTGCTACTAACCAATCCACTACCAAATAGAGCCATCCTTCTACAGACTAAATTCCCAGTAAAAGCCAGTATGAGTTGCAGCTTCATGACCGGACTGACAACAAGAAGATGCAGCTAAGGCTGAGAAGATACAGACAAAATAAAATGTGGAAGATCTTGTGCCCCAGTGATGAAACTCTAAGCTATTGCCTTTGCTACAAAAGGGTATGCTGCTTCACTATCCAAGTTGTTGTCATACTCTCCTTTGAGTTTCTATACTACTCATGTTCATTGTTATGCTTTGCCAAAAAAACTCCCCTAGAGTGAGCAACCAAACCAAGCCAAACCCTTCTCTATCAGATTATATAAAGTGCAACAACTTTTCAAAAAATACTTGAGGGAGGGGGAAAAATCCTGGAGCTTCAGTTTGGAGTGGAAAAAGTCTAAATAATTATGAGGGCTAAGCTATAGATAAAGATTAACACAAAAAGCAAGAAATCTAAGCTCCCAATTAAGTATTAATTCTACCTGATGCCTTGTATGCTTTGTCCATATACTCCCAAATTGCATTAAGAAAATGACTTTTCTGATCTATGAGTGTATTTGCAGATAGATGTGCAAGCAGCAAGAGCCATAATACATGCAGTCCTTGCAGGCAGTTACTCTTAGAGGCAGAAATACTAGATCATGGTCCTTGCAAGTACCCAATACACAACTTCCATGATGTAAGGGGAACAGGGTCCTTGTCTGGGTATGGACAGAAAGGATTAGGATTTCAGGCAAGTCTGGGCATCGGTGTGCTCAAGCTGGCATATTTTACAGCACAGAAACCCAGAAAACTGATTAAGTGTCTGCGTTACTTCTCTCTCTCCAGCACTATGGGGCACTGCTATAGTATATTTTGGAAAAGCCAGATTGACCCTAAGAAGGGAAAATGTTTTCTACTGTAGCCTCAGAGCAACCAATTCTCTCTTTCTGTACTTCTATGGACAGATAAATATAGCTAGAGCTTAAACAGTAAGCAAAGCACAGATGGCACTCAGAATAAGAAGAGACAGGATGAAAGTGCTGAGCTATCATCAGAGCAAGGAATCAGTGACAGACTCCCACAAAATAGCAGGATGTAGCCTTTTAACATACATGAGGCTAAACTGCAGCTCAAGTGTGTGTGGAAAGGTGGGAAGATTACAAACAGTAAACCTAGGATATAATTTCAAAATGAAAATGTTTGTACAACATATGTCATGCAGTAAAGCAGTATGGTTTACAAGGGTTGCATCTGTGGGGAGACCATATCCTGATCTGTTCTGTTCCCAGTTTTGCATTGTTGAGCCATACGGACAGCTACTGACAGTCTCAAATTTTGGCATGTGTATGATATGCTTGGAGTTTGCCTGAAAACAAAAAATGGAAAGTCTGCCTAGCTCTCAGAAAACAGAACAAAACAAAATAAACAAAAAATAAAACTCCACATTTTTATTTATTTATATTTTTATTTGTATTTCTATTTTTATTTTTATTTTTTTTAGTTTTAAAGATGCTAGAATACCATTAAATTTATTTATTTATTTATTATTATTATTTTTTTTAATAGATACCACTGAGATCTGTGAAGGAAATGAGTGGTTGACACGACATTTTATCTGATACTGCCCAGTCATATTTTGATTTAAAATCTGGAATGCTGTTAAGGGTACAAACCCAGTACAATGTTAGTAAGAATGTCCCATTCTTAAAAAAATAAAATAAAATAATAATAACAATAATAAAAAAAAGTCTCCAAGGTTACTGAAACTTCTTTCAACCAATCAGATTTCAATGGAATAACCTCATATAATTTTTTTTGTTTGCTTGTTTTTAAATAAAAATTTAACACAAAACCCACAAAACAATAGAAATACTCATTTCTTCTATAAAAATGATTATATTCAGAAACTAAAATTTGATAAGGCTTTTATTTTAGAAAATGTATTTTTTTTTCTGCAGTAAACAGCAGTATGGTTAAAAGTAAGGGAGCTTTTTATTAGCTATGTACCATTCAACAATTATATGCATCCTTCTAATTGATATTCTAAGTGCCAGTGTCAGAATAGATGTCATTGGCCCCTCTACTAGCTCTTATCTTCCTTTTCTATGCTGAGTTTATTAGCTGCTCTGTACAGTTTTACAGTAAAGTGCTATCAGTTTATACATAGCTGTGTGCAGCAAAGGAAATCCACAAATCCCCAAATCAAATAATACATAAAGACAAATCACTTTCTCCTGCAACTTAGGAAGTACCATGAACATGTGTATTTAGTATGACGAGAAAATCACACAGAGCTCTGGTTTAGAAATAAATTTATTTTGAAACATTACTGTTGTCCATACTCAATACAAAAGTGAAGAAATGCTGATACATAACTGTATTTATTATTTGATTTGTGGGTTTTATATATATTTTGTATTTTATATCCATAGATTAGATTAGATTAGATATAGATAGATGATAGAGATAGAGATAGAGATAGAGATAGAGATAGAGATAGAGATAGATAGAGATAGAGATAGAGATAGAGATAGAGATAGAGATAGAGATGATAGATAGAGATAGAGATAGAGATAGAGATAGAGATAGAGATAGAGATAGAGATAGAGATAGAGATAGAGATAGAGATAGAGATAGAGATAGAGATGATAGAGATAGAGAGAACTGAAACAGAAAAATGGGCTGAAAGATAAAGTAAGTTCTGTTGGGAAGCACATTTAGGGCAAGAAAAGAACTATCCTGACAGTTTAGTCACAAAAATAAATAAATAAATAAAATAAAATCATAAAAAGGCAGGAGTGGAAACTCCACAAATTTCTTTTTTGTTTTTGTTTTTGTTTTTGTTTTTGTTTTTGTTTGTTTGTTTGTTTGTTTATCCACACATAAGAGACAACAATGCTGTTTGCGATACATACATTCATGACCCATACCTACACCAATGGAAAAGCCATAGTTTGGGGTAAGACTGTAAGCCCCAGGACCTATGGATAGTTACGGGCAGCAGGACACTGTTCTGTGCTGAGAGGAAATACATGTTAACTTAGGCTTGTCTTCATACCACAGAATCACAGAATCACAGAATTTCTAGGTTGGAAGAGACCTCAAGATCATCGAGTCCAACCTCTGACCTAACACTAGCAGTCCCCACTAAACCATATCCCTAAGCTCTACATCTAAACGTCTTTTAAAGACCTCCAGGGATGGTGACTCCACCACTTCCCTGGGCAGCCAGCAACAACTCTGTCTCATGTTTGTCAAAAAATCTGGCAATGCTTTCCCCTTGAAGATGGGCTGAGCTCCTACATATTTGTGAAATGCAGGCAACCAGATTGCTCACTGTGCATTGATGCATTTCAGTAATTGTATTTCTGTAATGGGTTTTAGTATTAGCATTAAATAGTACATAGTTGGCACTATAGAGCATAGTCAATTAAAGGAGGCTCCAGATAAAACAGAAACGTTCATTAATTTCAGAGTTGAGAATACAGAATAAAAAAATAAGTTCTGTAGACCAAATCTGATGTGCAGCAAGTGCTGCAGCTTTGATCAAGTCTGAAGTGAGTGCTTCAAGATTGGATGGGAAGTGGGGGAAATATATGTATATTATTTAACTGGAGAAGGGAAGAAGTCGACCAATGTCAGGGTCTCTCCT